GTTTTTGATAAGTGGGGACTTGTGGAACAGTCTGAGCGACAACTTGTGATGTGACAACTTGAATCGGAGTGTGCGCTAAATGCCATAAAACTTTTCTCCCAGCAGCACAGGTTGTGGCTGTTTATTCAGAACTCCATTTGCTGGCACCCAGGTGTAACTTATTTTCCCTGATTTCACATTAAAATATAGCACAAGCTGAATGAAAAAACCATCGCATAAGCTAAACAAACATGTTTCTTCACGCTGCCAGGAAAGCATTTAGTTGGCTGGAGCCCATGAGGACTTTTGACAATGTTTTTAATTTGTGTCTTTTGAGATTGTGTCATCCTCACAAAGGTTTTGGTAAATGAGGGTGACAAATTGTTTTCAACTAAATCCATTGTGCTGGAGTTGATGACTAACAATTTGTGGGAATGGATCCTACTTGGCTCAACAAATCTCACCATGTATGATGAGTGATGCAACACTGACGTTTCAGTAAGCAGTAATTATACCAGATCATCTGCACACTTTGAATCTTTGAAACGTGAGTTAGGTTGTCATGGGATGGTGACACCAGCATTGTCTGTCAATGACCAGACAACCTGCAGCAGTAATTAGACCATTTTAATATCTCAGTTTTAATATTTCAGTGTTTTCAAATTCAAACAATTTAGTAAAAGGATTAGAACCTGAAGTCTGCCCGCCATTATTACCTAATGGCCCAAAAGCTGTTGGACCACAGATGTTCCCTATAACATTTTGGGCTTTTAGGACAAGTGCTGAAAATGCAGCGGCATTATCTAACTTTAGACCACTTCCTCTATTCTTGTGTAGACAGGACTGGGCAGTCCATTTCAAGCCATGATGGAAAACACCCTTCAGCCTACTGTATATGCAATATTTTCCACAAGCCTGCATGTCGAAATAAAATCCCTGAAGGAAAATAGTGGTTGTGGTGGTAGTGGTTAATAATAATATAGGGAAATGATGTTTTAAAGAAAGACAATTGATCATTATACGCCCTAGTCGTCTCACTGTTGCTATGCTTGCAGGACATGATGCAGTTTAAACTGATAATGGCATTTTAACCACTTGAAATTCTTAGTAGTATTCAATCAGAGGTACACTAAAACAGTGTCCTTATCTCTGTCTGAAATGACAATTGTTGCTAGCAGATTTTATCAGCTTTAGCCAGCTAGCTATTTAAGTTAATACTAGCGCCATAAGTTGGTTTAAAATTCAATCTCCAACTGTCTTTTCAATATTTCCTGCTGACTAATTTTAAAACAAAAATCTTAAATAATGGGTTGAGTGTAAACTTTCCCAAATACAAAAAAGAGCAGGATAGAGCTGCTAATGTTAGCCTGAACTCATAAAACATTGTGATGGACAATGACAAGGTGGACGGGGGGGGGGGTTTCTGGCATTTTCTACATTTTTGTTTGTGTGCTTTTTGTTGTGGAAATCTTAGAAAAAAATACACCACCCTCCACACTCTATAAATGTCAAGTATCATTCAACAGCGAAACCACTTTAACATGTGGAGAAGTCCAAATTTTGACTGGTGCTTAGATACAGTTGCTAAGGCTGTGATGGGACAATTAATATTTAGGGGGGCGGTTTAGCAACAGTCTACTGTGGTGAAACTGTATTTGTTAAAACAGTGATTTCCAACCTTTTTTAGTTGTGGCCCATTAAAATGACGCAATGTCCAGTTGTGACCTGTCATCCCATGTATGACCTTGTGCGAACTTTATCTTTTAATTCTTGGACTGTTTTAATTTAAGTATTTTTACTCAAAAGGCACATTCATCTTGGGACCCTCCCCATGAGTTGGAAACACTTGGGTTTGAAAGACTGCTGAACAGTCCAGTAATAATTTCCTCTAATACTCATTCATAGATATGATTAAACAAATAAGTCTTATGAATCTCTTTCAGCTCCATTAACATATTGTGCAGTGCCACATAGGGGTGTGACCCAAAGGTTCAGAAACTCTGCTTTACATTTTTGAAATACATGTCCTAATATGGCAGTGAAAATTTGCCCGGTGTGCTGCTTCCTGTTGGGCCCACCTGAGGAAGCTGAGGAGTTTCCTGAATCAGATTTAGCTAAAGATTTTGTACTTTGACTTTCATAAAATATAAGGTTGATTTACAACAACTTCAGAAACCATGTTGTGCACGGACACAACTTTACTCACTAGTAGTGATTTAGTAGAGAAGGTTAAATAAGGGCTAAATTTACTCACCTCACCAAGTCAGTCATACAAGAGCCAACCACCATCACATCAAAAGCCTCTTCGGTCATGATCTGATGGAGACACACATCTGTGTTATTTCTTTAGTAACAACACTCACTTCTGGGCATTACACATCTTAAAGATTTTTCATTTAAATTATGAATCGAGATCTAGGAGATTTTGAATTTTCCAACATTCGTCGAGTTTTTCCTGTGAAGCCTATTCATGAACAAAGACACAAGCTAAAGCATGGCAGATCCCTCAGGGGGCATTTCAGGTTTCCCAACAGCCTCCAAATAAAAATCATTTGATATTATTTATCTCCAACATTAACATGAGCTCAACCGAAACAAGGAAGAAGGTAAAAATAGAGCATTCATCACTGGCTGAGTTGGACAGGTTCCAGTCTTTTTGGGGGTGGAGAGGGGTGGGGGTATTTCAATGCTACACCACGTGACGCCGCAGCCCAGCAAAGTCTTTAATTAATTCAATCCTCAGCTTGTATCAGAGCTAATGCTAGTGTGTTAATCTCTTCAAATCTCTTCCTAGGCAGTGGAAGACTTGGAAAGCCTGGCCGCTGGCTGTAGGATGGCTCAATTCTCTCTCCTACATCTCGCAGCATATTGTTTTCCCTCTGCAGGAATGAAAAGCTAGAACCCTCTGCATCTCCACTGAAGGAGAATATTATGAGATCTGCATCGTCCAAGCACTTGAAACTGCAGGGAACCCTCTTAAAATTCTCCCTCGCGTGTTGAATTTGAGACTTGAATTATCATGCAGTAGCTGACCACCCTTAAGAAATGTTTGTACATACAGCTGAACCATATGCAGAAAAAAAAAATTCTATGAGTTTGACAGGCAATTCCAGCGGGAAAACCGATTCTGCATTTCATTTGCAATGAAAAGGAAATATACAAATGATGATGATGTTACCTTTTCCGGGGTCAGTACCAAACAAGCATTTTCCTCTCTGTTTTACCTTCATCAAAAAAATTGGATATTGCACTTTAGCCAAGTGCAATATCCAATTTTGCATTGTACAATCCAATCCATTGTAATTTGAATAATATTTTGATTGTTCAGCTCTAATACAGTTTAATGTAAAATATATTTAACTATGACACATTAACTATAGCAAAAGTTTCCACTCAGCTTCAAGCAAAAAACTGAGTGGGAAAGTGATGATTTAAGAGCTGACACACACATTTTTCGGGACTAATTGAACAAAGCGTGCTCTAAAACGACTGTCACACATGCAAACAGTTTAACCTGAATGCAAATCAAAGTTGTACACAGTTGTTTAAACAATTTAGACTGAGTTGTAAGCAAGATCCAGAAGAAAACGTTGTTGGACCCGTTTAAAAAAACTTGTAAGATTACATATTTTGCCTATGTCTGGTTACACAGTCAAGACTTAACCGGATAATGATTGTTATTACAATAATATGACCATTTATGTTTAAAATATACTTTTCAGAAGTTTAGACTATAATCACCAGAATACTTCTTTTACTGTCATCCCGCCCCCACCCCCTGAAACACACACACAGCTAGTTCCCAGTCTCATATTTTCCTAACCATTTAAGAATACTCAAAAGAATACTAACTGAATGTTGAAGTAATAAGTCAACCCCCGATTTCCTCGATCGAATTACACCAGTAATGGTTGGAAAATAACCAACTAAACATATTTTACTGTTGCTGTTTCTGCTGGATACTTTGAGAGTTAGTCTGAATCGCCCCCATGAAGGTGGAATTTCCCAGCTGTGAATCAGGCCAGCTGCTCAAACACCACTGGTCTTCTTATGGCTTTGTCTTCATCTTTCATTTTTATTTTTATTAGTTATTCTATTTTCATAAATCTAACACATTTCAGATGATGTTTCATATTACACCTCAAATGTTTTTCAGTCTGTGTGGTATTTTTTGATGTGCTATGATTAATACAGCAAAATAAATTCTAAGTCATCCACCCTGTTGGCCCAGCTTTTTGTCATGTTAAAGTCATATGTAAAATTCAATGTGATGTGTGACTAAATATTTCTTTTGGCTAAATCAATAAAAATTTCTGTATAAATATAACAAGGGAAGCATATGTAATTAAAGTACTTAAGCTAGTAATTTCATCTCTTACATGCATACTTACTTAAGTATTACAGATAAAAAATACTGTTAATAGGTAACCCTATTACTGCATTATGTAACGATGGACAATGTATCATGTGGTATGCTTTGCATATACAGTAAATCCTTATTGTGCAAATATCAAATCTATCGCTGTCAGATAAACATCAGATAAACAACAGTGTAACAAAATGGAAATATCAAGCTAACTTTAAATCAACTACGTATTCTAACTCTGGAAATAAAATAAGCATTGTAGGATAAAATGCTAAAAATTCAAAGGGAATATGACCGAGCTTAATTAGACGAAAGTTAGATCAAATAAGTGTGATGACACAAAGTGTTGTTGAGAAACGCGATACAGTAAATACCTGAAATTCAAATTTGCTCTTGCAGAATGGACCACTGAACACCCACAAGTGACGGTCAAAGTGCATAGTGACAGCTGCATATCGTTGTACCTATTGCCAGACCCATTGTTGTCACTGAATTAGTGCGTACGCATTTAATATTGCTTGAAATTGTTCACGTATAATTATATCAAACGACACATGCTTTATGAGTGATATATCACTGCGAAATTTGTCTCTGGGAACGTAAGCTGAGTTTGTATCAACAGGCATTATTACAGACCGCTAAGCGTGGGGCTATCGAAAGGACCCACACAACCGGAAGTTTTGAGAGCATGAAGTAAACATTGGAGTTAACGCTCATAATAATTGACTTTCTGCTTTTCAGGTACTCTAAGTCACACCCCTTGATGTATTTAAAGCGACAATAATGAAGAGGTTACATTTTGAGAAAGCTGAACGTGAAATTGTGGTAATTTGACGCATAATTCTGTGGTAAGCTAACGGTGGCTAATGATGCCAAACTCAGGAGCACTGACAACCTGATACAAATTGTGGGGTAAAAAAAAACAATTCCCCACCAACTACTCGATGTAACAATTAACGCTCACAGAGGTGCAGGTCACCAGCTTATAGCTGTACTACTTTATGTGTTTTCCGTGCAATGTGGCCAGTCTACGGTGCACTTTACAATCAGGGAGCGGGGGAGAGCAGTGTCTTAGCTAAATTTGTCTCCCAATGACACCTCTTGGTCTTTAAGAGTTACGTGGTTTTGTTATAAACCTCAACTTCACTTTATATTGCGGTGAAAATATAGGCACAACTTGCGCCACAAAGCTAAAATCTCAGAACAGGAAACGGAATCTGAGACGCATACAGTAATTTCCATGACACCAGGAAACGACAGATACAAATGACCGTGTTACCTACGTGACTTAGTTCACGTCCTTTGAATGTTCAGCACACGTACTTTTTACTCTGTGAGCTACGGTTGTGATAAATCTCTTGAAGGCATTTCTGTAAAGTGTTGCTGTATCTCCACAGACTCCTCAGAGTGGATAAAAATGAATAACATGTCCCCTGAGGTTGCACTGCACCGGATCTCACCTGAACTGCGGCCCTTGCTGTGCAGCGTGGTGAGGAACGGTCGTGTGGGGCTGGACTCCACAAACTGTCTCCGTGTCACAGACCTCAAAACTGGGTGAGGACTTGTTCTGCACCAAAACCTCCCTATGCGAAACACAGGATCCATTCAGTTTCCTTTGCACTGCAGTGATGCTGCGTTCAAATGATATGAGATGGATGACATAAGGCAAACCATGTAAACATAAAATTATGTTTGGGTTGTGAAGTGGGAGTAGCAGCTAGTTTTTGAGGTATTTCTCTGAATGATATTCCTCAACATAGCAACATGGGCATCTAGTGGATAATATTCAAGGTTTATGTTGGTCATAGATTCCAATTTTGTTTTTGATAATTCATGTTTTTTTGTATGGTTTTACCATATAGAGAATGCTTAATAGTTGCAACCACTGAGCCACAGTCGCTGAACTCACTCAGGGAGAGTGAAACATTTAAATTGATAAATCTGTTATTGGGCTTCCATATGATGTACTTTTAGCTCAAGCTTGCCAATAGTATTACATGCAACCTAAATTCAAGCGCAGTGATTGTATTTTTGTTACCAATCATCTTACCAAAATGCTCCTTGGGAATCAGTTTTTCGGTGTTTATAAGCACAGTCTTGTACCTTTTACTCTTTATTACAGAACTCTATGTTTTCTACAGTATCACAGAGATTGACATTTGTCCCATGACACATACAGCAAGATATCTGTAATGACTGCTTTGTTTGTTCCTGTTATGGCAGCTGTCGCTGACATGCTTTTCAATGGATATTGGTCCTTGTAATGAAGGTGTGATGAACTCATGAGAGCACATACCTCCACCAAGGCCGAACAGTCCTACACAAAGAAAGTGAAAATTCCTGGATCCATTCCTTTAACCAGGTCTGCATCCCTCCAACAAGTTTGGTGCAAATTGGTTCAGTACTTTTTGCATAATCCTGCTGATGAATAAACAAACTAAGAAACAATATGGGTGAAAACATAATATCTTTTTATATATATTTTTATTATTTTATAAAAGTATATTTTTAAAAATCAAGCTAATAATTCTTTCACAAGGTGCTCGTTGGTGACGTAAAAAAAATGGCCATAATCTAAATCAATAATAAAAAAAAGCAAACTTTCCCCCTAATTTGCCTCTTAACATCATGAAACAATTTGAAAATATATTGAACATGTTTGGGTTTACTGAATTACTTCTTTTCCAAACTAACCTCTCAATGTTCATCATCACACAAGGCTTTAAAGTGACAGATGTATAGAAAGGATCTGATATAAGAAGAAAGCAGTGTATTGGTGCTGTGGAGAACACAGTGTTAACTCTGTATCATATTTAGTAACATTGTGTGGTTTAATTAATTATAAACCTTGTGGATGTTGACTGTCTTTTAATATTCAAGACTGACTGCACCTGCTGACCTTTCTTTGTTGTTTTCATTGACCCCCCATGTTCAGATGTACATCTCTGACTCCTGGTCCTTGCTGTGATCGCTTCAAACTTCACATCCCCTATGCTGGAGAAACTCTCAAATGTAAGTAAATTAGGCACTCACTATCCTTTGTGCCGTTTTCTGATTTTGGTTGAATAAATAACTACAGATGTTAATTGAGTCGTGAGTTAATGAGTTGTTGTTATTGTTGCCTTTTGAGAATAATTTTTGGGAGAGATACTATTAGCAAACTTCGCTTTGTCTGTCACAGAGTTGTGGTAGTAGATAAGTAACTTGGGGCGAGCTACAGTCTTAAAATCACACTTGTCTGTACCTGTATCAGTGTATTCACAGATTAATAAATAAAAAAAGATAAATGAATGTGGTTAGAAATGTAATTGTTCTGGTTTTGTTTTAGTGCATTTTGATTCCATCCACATATTTCTTTGTTCTTTTTAAGGCTAAAATGTCACCACTGACAGTATTTCACTTTACAGGTTGCCCACTGTGCTCAGGTTGATTAATTCATTGTCTGGAACAATGAGCCTGTAGTTTGAAAAGTAATGAAAAGTAAAACATGTTCAGCCAGCCTTGATTAGTGGTGAGAGGTCCACTTCTTTCTCACAGTAGGCCAGATTAAAGATGAGAGGTTGTTTCAGGTCACTGGCTAAATTCACATGCTCCATGTGAATTCATGAAAATATATTCAAATCACATATTCAACTCACTTCTTTTCCCAAGTAAACAGAGCTATGCACAGAAGCCAAATGAAGAGTTGTTGTCCATAAAAATGCCAAATAAACATTCTGTATCACTTGAATTGAATGCATAATTAAACAAACAGCTCTATAGGACTGTTTTGTATTTGCTTAGCAACTTAGCACGCAGTGAGACCAAGAGCACCCACAGGAATTCCTTCACTACAAAAACAGGATGAATATTTTTCTGGTGATGGTGATGCTTAATTAGTGAAGTGATACCAGTGATTTGATGTTGTTTTTGCCTCTGAACTTTTACTGGAAGAGTCTCTTGTTTCTGAATCAATCCCCCACATCAGAGACTTTCCCTTATGAGCATGCCTCCAAAAGTGGCCAAATGTTAAGTGACTATAATGATGAATTAGCATGATTTCAATTTGCTGTTACTGTTATTATGGTGACTCACGAGACCCATGTCAGGCACATCTGTACACACACATCCTGGAAAGATGGCATTATCGTCACCGATCAAGTAGGGCAGAATTAATCAAAATATGATCTAAATCGCAAGAGCTGAAATTGATTTTTGATAGAGGTAAATGGTGTCGAAACATACCATTATTAACAAAGCATTGTGGGATTGCTTAGGAAAAAAACCTGTGGCCTGTTAGAGGAAGTAAGATTTGCTTAATTTGCGAAATTTTCTAAAAATCTGTCCATGCAGAAATGGTTGTGAACTTTATCAGGATGTTGTGGCTAGACTCGAAGAATGTGTAGATGTAAGGTTTAAGAATATGCAACACAGCTGTGGAGTTACATGTAAACGCTGTTGTCAACATCTGGGTGACAGCAGGATGACATTTCAGTCCTTTCTGAAATGTTAAGTGTTTTTTGGACCTAGTTCACCTTTAGCAAAAGCTGAGTGATAGCACATGAATAATGATGGTTGGTTTCATTTACCTGTAATAATGGAAAAAATACTCTAATGTGAAACTAGGATTTTTTTTTTACTGTGAGTGAGCCACATAATCTACCTTACCTTTGCTATCAAGGTGATATAAACTATCATGTACAGTATGTCTGCTGTTGTTTGGGAATATGCCTTTAATTCATGGAGACTTTAATGCTACAAAGTGCAAAAAAAAAAAAAAAAGTTAAAAGATAAATAAGAACACAAAATAAGAAAACATTCCTCTGGCTTTCTGGCATGGCAATGACATCTCTGCAGCTGTTGTGCTTGTTGCTGTGCTTTGTTGTGCTTTGCACGAGGAAGAAGGTTTGTCGACTGAAGAATGCAGGGCCGCTGGATCCTGCATCCTTTTGCACGCTAACAGTGGGCAGGTCCATAGACTGCCAGAGCACGGCCCACTAAGCACTATTAATGCACGCCCAGGCTCCTTCCACTTCACCACCGTAACTGATACTGCTAAACAACAGTTTGTGGCCGTTGTTGTTTCACATATTACGCTCTCATGACCTCAATAAAATGTCTGGCTGAAATAGAAGTAAAACTTTTGAGAAGGCCTGTTATGCAGCGACTAGACTGCACTTTTGAGTGAAGCCTCTCAGGACGTACGAACAAAGCGGTGTATATAAAAGCTTATGTTATAACCTGTAAAGGTTGCACTTCCAAGAGATCTATTTCAGTCTGGAACCGTGCCAGTGCGTCTCTGACAGAGTTCCAGTAGTTTGTAACAGATTTACAGCACATCCTCTCATCTTCTCATTTGACTCTTCACCACTGGAAAAATACTTCCATATGTGTATGTTTGTCTCCTTTTTTTTTTCTTTTTTTTTTTTGCTGTCGCTGGAACGACAAAAATGCAGAACAGAACAGTCTTGAAGCACACAAATAGAATTGTGTAACATAATATCAGAACATTGTGAACCAGACCAAGCAATGTGTTATGTGATCATGTTACAGTATCTTGTCCTTGCCCCACTGAGGGCTTTTTCCAGTTTTTATTTTGTCTGGATTTGTTGGTCATTTTCAATTTTAATAATTTTTAGCACTTGTTTGTTTCACTCTTTATTCAGATTTTGAATAAATTAACAAAACCAAATATGCTCTAAACAATGCTTTATGTGGTCTATATTAAAATATACTTTCTTTTCAATAGATTGATCTGTTTGGCTTCAATGGTAAATGTCAAGTTTTCTCATTACTTCAGGTGCTTAATTTAAAAGACCCTAGATCTCAAATGTATATTATTCTGTCAATGCATACACTGCAAAGAACAAATGGCTTAAAATGTCAGATTCTGCCATCAAGACAGACTGGGTCAAGATGATGATCTCACCCCTGTTTCTCTTGTTTCAGCAGTGTTCTCCTTCTCATGAAACTAGACACTATAAGACATTAATGCCATGCTAATATTAAAGAAACTTTTTTTCACTTGTTGAAATAAAATAATGAAACAATCAACAATCAGTTAATAGTCAGTTATACTGTTTTCTCACAGGGGACATCATGTTCAATGCACAGTATCCAGAGTTGCCTCCAGATTTTATTTTTGGAGAAGATGCCGAGTTTCTCCCCGAACCATCAGAGCTACCGGTGAGTATCTCGACCTCTCAGAATCATTTGAATTTAAAAAGATAATTCCAGACAAAATGTGTGATATATTTGATTATATGCTTTATCTTATCATTATGCCGCACAAGGAAACAAGTTTACCGCATTTTTGGTCTGTCCCACTTTTTGAAGCCAGAATTGTCTCTCCATTTGCTTCATTGAATGGTTTTCCTATGAGGTGCTGAATGGTCAGGACACATGTTGATCACAACTTCACATACACCCTTTGTCAAAGCAAACTAACACTCTGCAGCTGCTGCAAGCGTGTGCTGTTGACATAGCTGGAAATAATCATTTGCAATAATTGGCATGTGCATTTCATTTTGCCATAAACTCCTCTTCTGACTTACTGTTAATCTGCAAATCTGATTATCTCTGTGAAAATGTGATTCACAAGAAAGGTAGTCTAAACAGGATAAATGGGCTGTATGAGTTTGTGTAAAACATGTTTGTTGACCTACCCTGTAATAAAAAACAAGAAAGATTACCCAGCATTCAGATGATTGAATTTAACCAAAGATGATTGAATAGATTAGGAGGGTGATGCCTGGCTTCGCATTTGTTTTACTTAGTTTGTATAATTATTACTTTTGAACATTAATATCTCACTTTCAAAGTTTTACACATTACTGTCTTACTCACTTTTAAAGTTTCAAGAGTGTGTTTCCAGTGTTGAAGTGTATTTCGCCAGAAAATGATGAGATAGAAGGATCTGGGCTTGGCAAATAGTTTTGTCTAGTTTGAGAACTGGTTTTCAAGGACCGATTGCATCAGCACTGTTTAGCTCCAAATGAGGTGTGGTTTTAATGTTTGTGTATTAATACAAGCTGCTGCTTGAGAAAAAGGAGTTACAACACGACCATAGATTCCAGATAATCCATATGCATGTTTTAACCACACCGGATTTTCAGTCTTCTTGTGTCTGATCCGCAGAACGGTCTGAGGTATTAACTGAAAGTCCAGGAATTTCACAAAGGGGTTACTTTCTACCTTATTCTATAATGTTTTTAACTATTTGATTTCACTGTGGGTTTTTGTGTATTTTCAACATTAGGCCTGGACTGTGTGAAACAGAAAAGACAATACAACAAGAGGGCCTGACTTTGATAGGTGACATGAAACCTGTTACTTATTTGCTTTTGCCCCTCCTTGTCAGTCACTCAGGTTCCTCTCAAGACTTTACACTCCATTTTAAGGCAAGTACATTACACATAAGTAGCAACATGTTTGCTCCAAATATTAAAAGGAGGAGACACATACTTTGGAGGTCTTTTACCTCTGCTGGGAACCGTAGGTTATTAGTTTGCCTTTGTATATGCAAGGTTATTACAGGACCAATCTGCAAGACTTATGTTCAGTGTAAGCATTTTGGCAACTACGGTTAATGTTAAGGAAATATTGTGCTTAAGGCAAATAAAATGTGGTTAAGTTATTGTTATAGTATGTGATCTGGTCTCCTGCGTGGAGGACGGACGTGCTAGATGCCCATCCGCCACCCCAATACCCACACCCTTGGCAAGCTTTCAGACAGACATCAGCCTTGTGTGAAAATAACAGGTTGACGTTTTTTTTTTTGTTGTTTTTTTGGCTACAGACTGAAAACAGACCTGCATCAAAATATTAAAAGGTGATGTGTTGGTGTGGGCTTGTTGCGTCAGGTATCAGTGAGACATGATGAAATACGATCGAGAAAGTCCAGTTTGCGTAACAGATCCATGATGTTGCAGGTTTATCAGGTGTCAAAACCTAACTCAGAGGTTTATGATACTCCACACTGCAATGACTGCAAAAATGTTATCTTTCATGATGATGATTGCAAACTAAATGGTAGAAATACAGGGCTCATATGACCTAATAATCTCCAAGGAATGTGCATTTACACTTGTTTGACTGGCTGATGCAGCCCCTTTCCAGATGATGTCATGCTGAGGTCCAGCAAAGGTTGAACCTGGTTCAAGTTTTTTTTTTTTTTTTTTTTTGCAGGAATCTTCTTAAGCATCTCCACTGTGCTGATGGACTGTTCAAGTGGTCAAGCTGGTCTAGCTCAAGTGACTGAGCTCCAAATGATTAAACAAATTGGTGGTGTTACTTTTGCTCGCTATCTGTGTTTTGCATTCACCACTGTCTGGTAGTCGTTACTGATGAGACCCGATCAGGAGGCCAGACTATAACGTTACGCCGAAGTTTTTCAAACTAAAACAGGTCCAGTAGCGCTTCCAGGAGTCTCTGTTTTAGGGGCTCAAAACCTCCAGAGTTGTGGATGCCAGGAGTGAACGTAGAAAAAGTGATGCGTTTTAAAACCAAAACACATTAGTGTGGACGTAGCCTGAGACTCAGTGTTTGCGCTTGAATGAACGTACATGTAACATTATCTGGACGGGCTGGAAGTATGACGGTAGTATTTTTTAAGAGGACAGTTCATGAACACACGGATTGGGGAAAGTATTTACTTATTAATTAACCGATATGAGCAAGATGAAGTCAGTGAGAGGTTCTAAATGTCGGTTTTGATATTTTCTCGGTTACCTGCCCAGATCCTTCATCTGTGCCTTTCATATAGTGCTGCTATATCAGACCAAGAGTTCAACTTTCCCTATGACAATCATACTTCTAAACACACAGAGTTTGCTATGATGTTGATCACTGTGACCTGTATGCTGTCATCATACCAAGCTTCGGCTATCATTATAACAAATCGGATACCTGTTGAATATAACATGAATGTCTGTTGGCTGTGAGTGACTCAGTATATTGTTGGCTGGGGAGATTATTAGGCCTTGGAGGAGATCTTCACACTTCTGAGCACTTCCTTGTTGTTGTTGCTACTACCATGCAGTTATCCAGTGCTATATTTGAAGCAGCCTAGCATGAAGGAGCTAAATTCCCCTGCTTGTGTCAGAGTCTGGGAGAAGAGAGGGGAGTATTGCTCACCCTCTCATAAATCCAGCTGTGCACATAAGGGGAAGTACGTCTGCTGAGCCAGTGCCTGGCAGCCCAACGCATGTTTATTTTCTCACTTATATTCTTGCTGTGTTTCGCTGTCCGTGCTTTCATAATTCTCCTTCGGCCGTCTCTCTGCCTCAGATCCTCCTCTGATACTCACTCCTTTTTCCTGTACTATTTCAGTAAGTACTTCCCCCCTCTCATGCTGTAAAGCTCTGGATTCCCAGCACTTCCTTAGATTTCCCCTCATATTCCCTTGGAAATTCTTAGTGTCAGCACTGACGATGAATTTAGAAAGAGACTTCTTAAGACAAATGGACTTGGGGATTTGTATAAAATGTAGTTCCAGTAACGTCTTAAACAAAATTATCAGATTGGCCTGGTTAATGAAAAGTAGAAACATTATTGTGGGCCACTGATATATAAATAACTCTTGATACATAAGAGGCAGAACTCGGATGCAATATGTTTCTGGACTTTTTCATCCAGTGGGGGTAAACATTAGGCTAATTTTGGGTCCTCTGTCAGTGGCTGGTTGAATTCCTGATGTCTCAGCAGCACATTGCTCTTGTTTAGAACCAGCCAAGGGTATCATTAGCTTCTCTGTTTAGACATGTGTTTTCCCTGCTGTCACCAGGCCTTGAGTAGGTTTGTTATCCGTGTTTCTGTTTAGACAGAGAAACATGTTGCTGGTTAAAAAAAAAACAAAAGACAGGAGAAAAAACATGCACATAGTACACCCTCTGCCAACCTGGAAAACTTATTCTTCAGAAGAATTTCAGAACTGGCAAATTAGACTTCCATGAAAACATCTTGCTATTAGAAGGTGAAGTAATGAAGAAATCCTCAAACCTCAGTGATTATTAAGAAAGGTCCTTTCAACATTTAAACCACAATACATGATGGATGAAAGAGACCGAAAATACCCCGGTTGGATGATGAGAGGCCACATGTCCCACAAACAAACCCTTTTATAGCAGAACAGTTCTATGAGCTGTGGAATATGAGCAAAGTCTTCCACAAATTTATTGAGGTTCACTGTTACATTGTTGCTCGGGTTCAAGGGTTCACTGGAAAGTGCAAATATAGGCTTAATGGCATCCAGACCGTGGCTAATTGGCCACCGGGGCAGCTTCCCTACCTCACAGTGCTTTGAAACACATACTGTAAGGCTTGTTTTTAACTGGTCATTCATGTTAACTCTCTCACCAGTTTCATGACTTTAATTGTGTTAGGGTTGTGGGAAGTCATCTGACAGGCCAGTGGGTTTAATTGGAGCAGAGAGAGAAAGCCATTGTTCCTTTTAACACTGAAATAAATCTTAAATTGAACCAGAGATCGCCCTGTGGATGTAATCATCACTTAACCACCCTGACACATTTATGGTTGTCTAACTAAAGATCTAATTGATGCCAGCTGATAGTTAAAGGAAAGCTTATCATAGATGACTTAATTGTGGTGAGCATGTAGACTGCAGTCTCAGAATGAAATACTATCAAACATGTGATATTGATTTCATCATGGGAGCTGAATTAATGTAAAGTCTAGTCTAGCTTTAGTGCAGTGTAGTGCATGTATGTACGTATAGCTTTATGTATTAGGTTAAAGTTTGGTCTCATTAGACTTTCCTGCACTTGCGAAAAAGGATGGATGGCACAGTTCCCAAAGTGGACTATGATGTTTGGGCTTATATTGTATTATATATGGTGATAAAAACACGTAGGAATAATGTAAAATCTCTGTCTGCAAACACAGTGCATCATTGTTTCACCTGCACACTCAAAGTTGAACCAAGGTGAAGTCTGCCTGAGCCAGCTGGAAATCACACCACAACAAGAAATGTATGCATTAATTAGTTTGTCATACGTCAGGTATTTGTGCAGCGGGAGTGTAATGTGACGTTAACCTTTTTATAAAAAAAAATTGTCAGATGCAGCCTGTTCAATTCTAGCCGGCGTTTGGGTCGTGTTCGATGTTTTGACAAGCACATTGCTTGGAGCTTACTGACACCTTAAATCCTACCTGTATGAAGGTGTTCA